TCCTTTTTTTTTTTTTTTTTAAAACAGGGTCTCGCTCTGTCACCAGGCTGGAGTGCGGTGGCACAATCATGGCCACTGCGAGTGTCAAACCTCCCTGCAGCGTCAACGGCACTGGCCTGGGTGCCTCTTAACTGGTTATCTGTACCTGTTATTGCTTGGTAGTCTAAGTGTGTGAGATCAATTTCAGGGTTGCTCCAATTCCATGTGAGCTTGTGAGAAGTAGTGGTCCTGGTCCCTCCTGGCTGCTTTTGCTGCTGGTTCCCAGCTGACACCCAAATGAAAGTAGGAAACAAACTGGCTCTTGTTAAATTCAACACTTCTTGATTTGCATCTCAGTAATTTCTTGTAGAAAACACTCAGAATCTGATAGTAACATTTAGCAAAAGAGAGGCACTAAGTTAGGAGAGAAGTCCTTCCCTCTCCTTTATCTACCAGAACTGTTGAACGAACTCACATTGTGTTTCTTGGTTGTGTCTCATGAAGAGACCTAGTGACGGATTCCTGTTTTTTTGTTTTGTTTTTTATTTTTTTGAGACAGAGTCTTGCTCTGTCACCCAGGCTATAATGCAGTGGCACAATCTCAGCTCACTGCAATGTCCGCCTCTGGGGTTCCAGTGATTCTTCTGCCTCAGCCTCCTGAGTAGCTGGGATTATCGGTGTGCGCCACCATGCCGGCTAATTTGTGTATTTTTAGTAGAGGCAGGGTTTCGCCACGTTGGTCAGGCTGGTCTGGAACTCCTAATCTCAGGTGATCCACCCACCTTGGCCTTCCAAAATGCTGGGATTACAGGTGTGAGCCACCGCACCTGGCTGACAAATGCCTCTTAATGGTGGTGATCATTTCTCATCCATTCGTGCACTGCCCTGTACCAGGTGCTGAGATGAGGATCAGGGAAACAAGCTGCTAGACACTAGACATGACGCCATGATATCCCTTTCCGTAAAGAGCGTGTGAAGGAGTTGAAAAAGGAGACACATATTTATAAAACCAGGAAATAACTGGAAAGTAGCACCTGTGCAAGAGAACTAGTGGACCCAGTGAATTCTTACAGGCTGTGAAATTGACAACATAAGCTCTTCCCTGGCTGGGGCTCCCTGGGGTTTCCTGCAATCCCATAAACAACTGGTCTCAGTGAAGTTGTGAGCTATTTGAATACAAAGCCAGGCCTTCTATGCCTGTCTCTCATAATGCTGGGCACACAGTGAGTCACATCTGACTGCTGACCATGTCCCTGGCACTACGGATGCCAGGAGCACTGAGTGTTTACAGACATCCCAAGTGATTCTGCCAGATAAGGAAGTGGCCCGCGTGGGCTGGGGGCACTCATTAACAACTTGGGCATGGGAACCTTTATCTCTTTTGTATCTCACAGGCCTCCAGTGCCTAGAAAATGCCTAGTACCTAATAGGTGCTCAGTAACATTCTGATGCACAGTCAACTACTGAATCAGAACCTACTTTTTCCAGGAGGCAAGTCCTGAGTTATGTTTTGGAGAAAGTGATGGTACAAAATTTGCAGAGAGAACAATATTCTAGGTAAAGGAATACTTCCAAGTTCAACATATATTATTTACTCAAAGATTTTCTTTCTCTTTTTGAGACAGGGTCTCACTCTGTTGCCCAGGCTGGAGTGCACTGGCGGGATGACAGCTCACTGTAGCTTGAATGCCTGGGCTCAAGGGATCCTCCCACCTCAGCCTCCTGAGCAGCTGCGATGCGTCCACCACTACGCCTGGCTAATTTTTTTTTTTTTTGTAGAGATGGGGTCTTGCTTACCCAGGCTGGTGTTGAATTCCTGGTCTCAAGAAATCCTCCCACCTCGGCCGCTATTCAAAGATTTTCTGCAAACCTACTATGTACTAGCCTCTAAACTAGATTCTGGGAATACAAAGATGATTAAGACACTCCTTTCCTAGAAGAGACTCAGAGTCTGAGGGCAGAACACACATGTAACCAAGAGTATCCATAAATGTGCCTGTGTTGTAACGGAAGGTTGGGTCAGATGTGGGGAACACAGAGCAGTCGGATGAAATGGGGCACCGCCATTCTCACCCCCATCTTCTGCCCCTCCTGTAGGACAGACCTCCAGCCCAGCTCTTCGGGGACACGTGCCAATGCTTCTGAGGCCTCGCTTTTCATCCAATCAGATTGTGCCCTTTGCAATCAGTGTTCCCACTTCTTTGGGAGACTGGTGGCAAACCTGCTTCCATTACTGCTCTCATCAATGGATCCACTGTGGGGATGACGTTGACCCAGAATCCTGAAGGGTTTGGCAGATGGGCAAGGATAGGTGTGATGGGAGTATTCCATGCAGAGGGAAATGGAAACGCACAGAGACATGGAAAGACCTGCATGTTTGGGGAAAGTCAGGGAGGTGTGTGGCCAGGAAGGGCAGAGAAAGAGCCTAAGGTGCAGGCAGGGAGCGGGAAGGGTTTGTGAGTGGCTCTGGAGGCCATGGAACGGTTTCCAGCCTGGGACTGGCAGGCCAGGAGATGTGGGTTTTGCAGGGAGAACTTGGGCAGCCACACTGGAGGGGAAAGAAAACCGCTGGGAGGCTGTTGCAATGGCACGAGCTAATAAGGGGGACCGCGTGGGGAGCATCGGACATGGGAAGGATGGGTGGGTGTGGCGTGAGGGACAGGCTGGCAGAAGCACTGAATGCTCGCCTCTGCAAGTGGCCGGCAGGAAGCTGGCCTTTCCTCCCTTCAGGTGCTCCCTTCAGGGAGCATCTCCAGAGAAGACAGGACCCATCAGCCTCACCTGACCCCACCTTCGAGGTGAAGCTAAAGGGCCTTGCCTTCCCTCTCCTCCTTCCCTTTCAGCCCCCACACGGAGAACTCCATTTGTCAGGGCTTAGTCCCCCAACCCCCGTGTCCTGGCTTCCTCCCAGCCCAGGTCCTGTCTCTATCTGATTATTACAGCAATCTCCTGGAGCGAGGACCCGCCTCTGTCTTCTGTCCCAGGTGTGCCGTTAATAGTGAAAACCTTCAGGCTAGGTGCAGGGGAAGGGAGCCCAGGGGCTGGCTGGAGAGGCAGGCAGGATCTAGAAGCCATTCTCAAATCCCCGTTGGTTCATTCACGTGTGAGACTGGATAGACTGTGGCTACCCCCGCCCCCATCCATATCATTTCTACAAAACCAAAAGCTCTTCTCTCTAAGGACCAGATCAACCCAAAACATGGGAAGCCCAGGTTTGGTCCACAGTTACAAAAACTTCCCACTCACCAAGATGCAGTTTCCTGGTGGAACAAGAGTTGGTGAGATAGATACGCTCAGCTGGCACAGAATCTAGAGGCAGGTGGAGGTTGTCTCGGGAGCCCAGAGAAAACGGAGGCAATGCCTAGCCCAGTCCTGATGCATAATTTACCAGGTAACCAGGACCTGCTACTCTAGACGAAATCCCATCCTTCCCCTGCCCTCCCTCTCCTTGGGCACAGAAACGGTCTCAGGGACTAAAGCTGCCTCCACACTGGCCAGGCAGTTGCCCCAGTAACAGTGTCCAGCACCCCTTGTTTTGTCCCCCAGCCTGTCACAAAGCCCCTCTTCTTCCTGGGGAAGAGCACCAGGCCCTCTGCACCAGGGCCCACATCCTTGCAGCCTGGCACAATGGGCTCCCACGGAGTACACAGTGTTTCTTATTGTGGCATAAAATGCCATAAAGTCAGAACAAAGAGCGAGCCCAGGGCCTTGATGGGTCTGCTGCTTCCTGCCGGGCAGAGAATACAAGTGATTGTTTCAAAGCCAGTGGTGAGGCAAGTGGCCAATTAGCACGGCCTTCACCCCCACAGCCTGTAAATGTGATTCGGACCATCAGAATGGGATTCTGCTATTCAGATCAATTGCTCAAAGGAAGCGAGTCTGTTCTCGCTGCCAAATTTAGAAGCCCGAGACAACAAAGGTGACCCAGGTTATGGCTGCAGCTCTCCTTAGGATGAGGCTGAGCCCTGCCAATGCTTAGCACTCACCAGCCCTCAGCACCTCTGCCCGTTTCCCTGCCCCTTTAAGGTGGTGTAAGGGATTCCTAGAACGTTCCTGCAACTAGGAGGTTATACATCTGTTCACAATCGCATTGGAATAACAATGCATTTCTCGTTGTCTTCTTTCTTGTAGTTGTCAAGAAATTACCCACGACCCAGAACAGAGGAAAATGAAAGTAGGTTTTGGGGCCCAGTCCTGCCATTTTGAGGGTGTTTGCTAAATTTCTCTTTTTCTGTGACTGTGTTGAACCTAACGCCATGGAAGGAAGGAATGACCACCACCCAGAGGCAAAAATAACCCCACAAAGCTTGGGAAAGTCAGCCGCAGCAAACAATCAGGAAGGCGAGGCCAAGTTCACTAGATGCAGAGCAGATAAGAATTTTAATTCATCCTGAACGCAAGGAAAAGCGCCAACAAAGGGAAGAGGTTATCTTCCGGCATGAGATAAGATTTGTTCCTTTTCCTTGCTGGGATTCTCCAGCGTCCAGCACTTGGAGAGTTTGGGGGTTGGTTTTTTTACTGCCAGGATTCCTCTAGGGAAACCCTCCCCAAGCCCTGGCAGGGGCTGTCTGGCCCTTACCTGAAGGGACCACATTCACTCACAAGCTAGTGGCCTTGGTGGATTTTGGGTCTGCTGAATTCAGAGGCTGAACAAAGCAAACAGGTCTCCTGAGAAAGGACCCTCAAAGCGGGCAAGACGGCTCTCTGCAAACAGGTTCGAGAAAAGTCTTCTCCCTGTTCCTTTTTCCATTAAAAAAAAAAAAAAAGAAAACCGACTGGAGAAAAACGTGCTTAATAAAGCAGGCAGGCTCGAAGTCAGACTCGGGAAGAACTTCATCAGGAGGCAGAATCAACACCGCAGTGAACAGAGGGGTGTATGACAATTGGGTCCCCAGAGATTCTTCTGGGGGAAAATTTCACAACTGCCTGTCCCAAAAGCCGTTAGAACAGTGGCTCCCACATGGGCTTTGCCATCAGAATCCCCCGGGAACTCACCAAAAACTCGGATTCCAGGGCCCCGCCCCGAGATTCCGCTTCTGGCGATGGGGTGGGGCCCTGGAATCGTGCTCAAACCGGACCCCGGTGGTCCGGACACAGCCGACCGCGGGGTGCTTTTGAGAACCCCCAATAGTCCTGCCTGGAAGGCGCGAACCAGCTCAGAGCTGCTCGGGGTGGGGCCCGGATTACGACCCTAGAGAAACCAATTTATTATTCCGCGCACGCAGCCCTGCGAAGCCGAATTGACCATTTTCAGAGAACCGGGGAAGGCCCTGCCTTCCGCTCACAAAAGGAGCCTGGGAGTCCCAGCCCGAGCGCCACCGCGGGGTCCGGCCGCTCCCAGCGCCCCCTCGCGCTGCCGCCCCCGACCCCGGCCTTGTCCCCCGGGCGGGCGCAGCTGCTGCTCCCGCCTCCGCAGCCGGGAAGGGCGCTGCGAGGTCTTTAAAAGACCTTTGTGTCGCGGGCGCACGCAGCACCTCCGGGGAAAACGCCCTGCGCCTCGGCCCCGCGGCTCCCCGCCGCCGCCCGCCCCGCGCGTCCCAGGGTCTGCCTCGGCGAGGGCCTCCCGCTCCGGAAGGGGTGCGACGGGGAGCCCGGCCTGGTCGCTGCGGCCCCGCGCTCCGTCCAGCCGCGGTCGGGAGGGCAGGGCAGAGTCCCGGCGCTGCGCCCAGGCGCCCCCTCCCCAGCCCCGCCCCGGAGACGCCTCGCTTTTCCCGGTCCGGGGAAACCTGCGCCGGCCGGGCGCGCCCACGTGGCTTCCGCTGGGCAGGGGCGACCCCTAGTGCCCAGGACGGGCCGCGCCAAGCAGGACCGAGCCTTTCCCCACACACCCTGGAGCCTGGGCTTGGGGCACCCTGGCCTCCGAGCCCGGGCCCCAGGGAAGACCTACGTCTCCGGAGAGCAGAAGAGCATCCCTAGGGTGGTGCTCCAAAAAGAGTGTCCACGGGAGTCAGGGAACCTGCCGCGCTTCCGTGCTGCTTCGAGGCAAATGGTCCCACAGAGGGAGCGACCCCCACTCATTTGCCATCCTTCCTCCGGGAGCTGGGACCCGCTCGAGGATCCACCCCATCACCACCCCTCCCCTGCCGCTCTCGGCCCCAGGGGAGACAGCCAGTTCTCCCCTGGAAGCCCAGACCCGCTCCACCTGCCCCCATCTCTTCTCACGCCCCAGACATGGGTGGGCACAACCAAGGCCAAGGAGAACCCAGCACAGAGGGATCATCCTGGGGTGCTGACCAGTCGCAGCCCTGGCCTGGCTTCCCGCCAGAGCCATTCTCAAGACAAGAGCCAGGGTAGCCAGTGGCAGAGCCACGGGCATCCAGCCTCCCCCGTAGGCCACACTCCCTTGGTCCCCTGGCATCCTAGCATGACTCACCTGGTTGGCAGCACTTTGTTAATATGGGTTGCCAGAGCTGAGTCACAGCTGTGACCTGCTGCCCTAGCTCGGTTCAGGTACACAGGAGGAAAAGGCAAAACATCAGGGCACACCAGGTAGCACAGAGAAGTGCCAGGCTCTTTGTGGCTCTGTGGTGCCCATGCCAGCCTGCTGACCAGGTCCCCTCCCCTGCACGTGAGAACCAAAGCCTCACACAAATGCCACAAGTGAAACCGGAGTTAGGGCAGCTGGGGAGAGTCCCTGGGTGTGCTCAGGAGCCAGCACCAGGACAGCTGCTTCCCAGTAGCACAAATAACTTCCCAGTGTCACCAAGACAAGGGGTGGGGGGAGGGTCCAATATGCAGATATGCAAACAGATGAGGACAGGGGCGGGCATGAGTGCCCTTGGCCAAAGACTGGGCCAGAGCGCCTCACCAAACACCCAGTCAAGGCTATTGGCTTTTAGAGAAAGCACAGGAGGGATGAGAAGATGGAGGCAGCTCAGGGGCTGGGGCTTCCTTGGGTCGAACTGAAAGGGTGAGAGGGTCCAGGTAGGATTGGGGGCATGTCAGTTGCTCCTGCTCCTTGCAACAGTTTCTTCCACAACAGGCAGAAACTTTCTTTCTTTTCTTTTTTCTTTTTCTTTTTTTATTTTTCTTTTTGAGATGGAGTCTCGCCCTGTTGCCCAGGCTAGAGTGCAGTGGCCGGATCTCAGCTCACTGCAACCTCTGCCTCCCAAGTTCAAGTGATTCTCCTACCTCAGCCTCCTAAGCAGCTGAGATTACAGACACCCACCACCCCTGGCTAATTTTTTGTATTTTACGTTGATGGCGTTTTGCTATGTTGGCCAGGCTGGTCTCGAACTTAAGACCTCAAGTGATTAACTTGCCTTGGCCTTCCAAAGCACTGGGATTACAGGCGTGAGCCACTGCGCCCAGCCTAAACTGTTTCTAAATTGTCGGGGATCATTCACTCAAGCCAAGGGGGAAAGAAACATATTGAGAACAAGAGTTTCCCCCAAGAATAAAGGAGACCCCCCCACACACCAACTCCACCTTTTCCACTTGGATTGTACTGCCACCCAGTGCCTCTTGCTGTCCCTCCCTTCTCCCTCCTGTCACGCGTCCCTCTGCCTCCAGCCATTGATTTCCGAAAGACTCCTGAAACCCCTGAGTCAGTTCCCCCTTCCCTGCCAAATTAGGAAGCGGGGATTCAAGTGGGGTCTTACCCTGAGAGGAAGCAATGGCCCCCGCAGGTATTCAGCCTGAAAACAAGTGCTGCACCAGGCTATGTCAGGATGTGGAGATGACCAAGATGCTGTCTTTGGGGGAAGCTGGTGTGGCTGAAACCCCAATGGGGCAGTCTGCAGATTCCCCAGCCCCAGACTGCAGGTCTCTGTTCGCCACGCTGTTCCAGGCACTGTGGCCATGTGGGTGGCTGGCCCTCAGGGCTGGGGTGGGAGAAGACGGAGCAGCAGTGCCATGCCCCCTGTGACAGACCCCACAGTCTGCTGCAGCCCTCCGGCCTGAAACATCTTCTTGCCTTCCAGATTCGGAGTTGGGAGATGGAAATGAAGGCAGCATTTCTCAAAGCCGGGTCGTCTAGCAAGGAAGCCAACCATGGAGCTCGGCAGAGCCCTCTCCCGCCAGCCCTTCTGTCTACGTCCCCAAGTGCCTCCCTTCCTCCTCTTCTTTACTGAAACTGAAACCAAGTGTTCACAGTTAGCATTTTCACCTTGTGCCACTCTCTTTTGGGGTCTGCCTTGAGCATCTATGGGCAGCCACAGCGACCAGGCTAGTCCCAGACAGCACAGGTCAAGCAGCCTGGGACTGTGGAGCCCCTGGCAGGCTGGCCTGCTGCTGCCCCCTTAGCCCAGAAGCCCAAGAGGACCCAGAAGCCTTGCCAGGTCCAGTGGCCTGGGGTCCCAGTGCTGAGGGCGCCTGCCAGGCCTCACTCCACCCTGAGTGGACTCGAGCCATGTGTTCATTCAGTAAACTGACTTTATTCTCCCAGTTTTGTTCATGCTTATTTCACTTGCCTTGGTCAGAGGCCGAGGGTCTCAAGTTGGAGGAAGAGGGAAGCACATCTCATAGTCCCCACCTCACCTCCACTTCTCCCTCGCTCCTGCCATCACTGGGGACGCTACATCCTGGGCCCCCATGGGCTGGGGCAGGCTGGATGGTGGCTGCCCCTGTAGTACCCACTTAGGACCCAGTTGGGGTGTGGACTCCACACTTTTTTTCCTAATTGCATCTTAGGACCCAAAGACCAAGTCAGGACTTGGGGTGAAAGGTCAGAGGGTTAGTGAGAAAATTATGTGTGCATGAGTGTATTTGAGTACGTGTGTGTGTGAGAGAGAGAGGGAGAAACAAAGTTAAGCCAAAAAATAATAAAAGGGCTGGACGTGGTGGCTCACACCTATAATCCCAGCATTTTGCGAAGCTGAGGAGGATGGATCACTTGAGGTCAGGACTTGGAGACCAGCCTGGCCAACATGGCAAAACCCCGTCTCTACTAAAAATACCAAAAAAAATTAGCTGGGCATGGTGGTGGACACCTGTAGTCCCAGCTACTTGGGAGGCAGAGGTTGCAGTGAGCTGAGATTGCGCCACTGCACTCCAGCCTGGGCAACAAAGCAAGACTCCATATGAAAAATAAATAAATAAATAAATAATAAAAGAGCCAGGTATGGTGGCTCATGCCTGTAATCTCAGCACTTTGGGAGACCAAGGCAGGCAGACCGCTTGAGCCCAGAAATTTGAGATAAACCTGGGCCATAGCAAGACCCTGTCTCTACAGAAAAAATTTTAAAAATTAGCCATGTGTAGTGGCACGCCCTCGTGGGCCCAGCTACTCGGGAGGCTGAGGTAGGAAGATCACATGAGCCTAGGAGGTCAAGGTTGCAGTGAGCCATGATCACACCACTGCACTGCAGCCTTGTAGACAGGGCTACAAGACTGTCTGAAATAATAATAATGATAATAAAAGATGGAGGGGACAAACTATGGTACATGCAAAAACGTTATGCTAAGTGAGAGAAGCCAGACAGCAAAGACTACATAGTACATGATTTATACAATTTCTAGAAAAGGCAAAACTAGAGAGACAGCAAGCAGATCGGTAGTTGCCGGGGGCTGGGAAAGAGGCAGGAATTGACTGCAAATAGGGTCCAGGAGACTTTTGGGGGTGAGGGAGGTGTTATAAAGCTGCTTTGTGGCAACGTTTACACAACTGGATAAATTTGCTGAAGCTCATTGCCTCTACAGATTAAAAATGGAGGGAGGGACAGAAAAAGGGCTGAGAGAGGAGGACGAGAGAGAAAGATGAAATGAAGAGGAGGTGGCACTTCTCCCCCCTGCCTTTAAGACTTCTCAGACCAGGAGACGCCCCTGCTTCCCTGACCCACCCTCTCCTGGGGGTCTCAAAGGGTGAGATTTTGCTGCAAAGGGGTGCCTGAGCTGAATTAAGGAGTCAGTAGGGTTTTAGGAAGGCTAGGCTTGAATCACCTTAAAATCTGGTCCCACTCTTCCGATGTTCCAGTTTAAAGTGATGCAACTCTTGAAAACCAGTAGGTTCACCAGGCACAGCGGCTCACGCCTGTAATCCCAGCACTGGGAGGCGGAGGCGGGTGGATCACCTGAGGTCGGGAGTTTGAGACCAGCCTGACCAACATGGCGAAAACCCAACTCTACTAAATGCAAAAAAAATTAGCCAGGCATGGTGGCACATGCCTGTAAACCCGGCTACTTGGGAGGCTGAGGCAGGAGAATTGCTTGAACCCAGGAGGCAGAGGTTGCAGTGTGCCAAGATTGCGCCATTGCAGTCCAGCCTGGGCAACACAGCAAAACTCTGTCTCAAAAAGAAAAAAAAAGAAAAAGAAAAAGAAAACCAGTAGTAGGTTCAACCAGGCAACCTAGACCCAAGATCAAAGTTAAGAGCCATTCCAGTTGAAAATATCTCCATGATCTAAATAAAATTCCTAAAACCTCAAGTTCCTCCACTCAACAAACATAGCCTCAAGCTCTATGAGAAAATGAGCCATTTGAACTGAACTTTAAGGTTGACTAAAGATTTGTCCAGGATCCAGTACTGAGGAATGTATAAGAAGGGTCAGTCACATCTCAAAATAATTTTGGTATGGAGCAAAAAGAGCAGCTGATGGATTTGAGGTGGGCCCATGCTACATCCTGACAGCTCGAATCCCACAGTAGGATGCTATCCAGTGTTTGAGGCAGCTGAGAAGATCCCATCCCACAGGTGTTATTCTCTAGAGAAATCATTTAGGTTTTTTCTAAAGCTGTATCTTTTTTTTTTTTTTTTTGGTTTTTTTTTCTTGAGATGGGAGTCCTCACTCTTTGTCGCGCGAGCTTTGAGTGCGGTGGTCATGGTCCTCAGCTCACTGCAATTCTCGCCTCCTGGGTTCATAATTGTTGATCGGGCCTCAGCCTGCCCAGTAGCACTGGGGTTACAGCACTCGCCACCCATACCCAGCTAGATTTTTGTGTTTTCAGAGAGACAGGGTTTCACACATGTTGGTCCAGGATGGTCTCGATCTCCTGACCTCATGATCCGCCCTCTGGCCTCGCCAGTGCTGGGATTACAGGCGTAGCCACGGCGCCTGGCCCAAAATGTGCTCTCTTCTCTGCGAGACAAACTGTTTCAGGGGTTTAACCCAACCAGGAATGCTTTCCATGAGGTCCAGGGTGGGGTAGACATTGCAGGGCTGGTGACTACCCACACTATCAACTTGATTTCCTGGCAGGAGTCTGCCTGCCATATGGAGCTTTTCATGGCTTGAGATTCCAAAAGGATAGCCTCATTTATTAAACGGCAGTGATGAGGCCAGGTGCGGTGGCTCACGCCTATAATCCTAGCACTTTGGGAGGCCGAGGCAGGGGGATCACTTGAGGACAGGAGTTTACGACCAGCCTGGCCAACATGGTCAAACCTGGTCTCTACTAAAAATTAAAAAATAATTAGCCAAGCCTGGTGGCGGGTGCCTGTAATCTCAGCTACTCAGGGAGCTGACGCAGGAGAATCGCTTAAGCCTGGGAGGCAGTGAGCTGAGATCGCGCCACTGCACTCCAGCCCAGGTGACGGAGGAAGACTGTCTCAAAAAAATAAAAAATAAAAATAAATATTAATAAAAAATAAAATAAAGCATTCCCCAATGGTATAAATGTCTAATACATCAGCCAAGCCCCACTTTAATCTATGCATTGTACCCCACAACCCAGGACACCCAGGTGTCCCTCCTCCACTGCTTTGGGAAGGGAGGCCGTGGAGGCTCAGAAGGAAAGAGGTCATTCTTAGCCCTCAAGTCTCGAAATAGCCCTAAAACTCTCCACAGAGATGAGAGGTTGAGACAACGTTCTTCAGTCCCCAAGCCTGACTGCAAGATCTCGAGGGGCTCTCTGCAACCCTGTTGCCCACCCCGCAACACTTTTTCTAGTGCAGGGAGGAGAGTGGCATGGCAAGTTCTTCACCTTTGTGCCTTAGACTTCTCATCTGTAAAGGGGGGACAGTGGGACCTACCTGATGTCATATTGGAAAGACTGAGTTAATACGTGTTAAGCAGTTGGAACAGGGCGTGCACTTAGTAAATAACACATATTTTGTTGTTATCATTGTCATGGAGGAATAGCGGGACAGAGGCAGTGTCCTGAGCCCCCTGCAGCCCCAGTATGAGGAAAGACACCATCCAAGGTTCCCCAAGTCCCTGAGGGAGATGCAGAAGGGCAGGACACCCCTGCATAAGCCAGCATGGACATAGATGATCAGGGACCAGATGCCCCTCCCCCAGCTGCAAAACCTGGACGCTCCATAGGACCTCAGAGGCACCTGGAAATATAGGCAAAAATCCCAACTGCACTAGAAAACCTTAACTGACCAGGATTTCCCTGAAATGGCTATAACTAAAGCTCTGCCATCAGCCGATGCAAGGAGACAGTTAAGGTTTTGCACTCCTCACTGTGTGGCCTTGAACCTTAGTGCCCCCAGTGTGTCCACCTCCATCAGGAAAGGCCTGCCCACTGCTCCTCCTCCTTCCCTTTCTCCAGCGCTGGCATCCCACCTGCTTGCCTGGACAAGGAAGGATTGAGATCTGCCCCTCAAATGGTACTGGTTCTGGTGGGAGTGAAGCCTGCAGTCTTTTCCCCGGGCCTCTTGGCAGTCCCCGCCCCTAAGATAAAGAAAATCAGGCCCGTCCTGAACATCTCAGTACTTTCATCTGGTGCTGGTCTTTCACAGCCCCCTTCATTTCCCTGCTGTCCTTTCCCCACCCTCCCTTCCGCCTGCCTTCCTCCGGGCCCTCCCTCAAGACACAATTCTTTGCCTTGTGCCTGCAATGGACTCCAGCCCTGGTGCTCAAGGCAGCTTGGCCAGGCTTAGGCAACTCCATTCCAGGAGAGCCATGTGGTATGGCTGGCGGCTCCTCGCCCCTGCGGCCTCACAGGGCTGCCCGCTGGGCCAGGCCAGCTCTGCCAGCACGCCTTCGAGGAGGCCATCTCTGGTGCGACAAGAAGAGGTTGAGAGAATGCTGTTCTCTGGAGATCAGCCGTATTCTCCCATTCATTCAAGGATCCAGGTGGCCAGAGCGGGGCGGGTTAACCCTGGAAGTGAAGGCTGGGCCCAGCGCCTGGCA